TATTTTTCTTAACGCATGTTCATATATGTATGCAACTATAAATATGTAAAAAAGAATTCTATTTTTGTTTTTGTTTTCATATTGTGTGCAATCGTAAACTTCTTCACTTTTGAGCTCGTCGAAAATCTTTTTAAACGAAGATAGACGAACAATAAAATCATCATTCTATTTAAAAAAAATTATGTTAACATATCTTGCGGATACGTTTGACTCAATTTTTAATTTTCTCCAGGGTGAGGTGGATGAAAAGAATGTCAAGAAGAAAAAAGTGTTACTTCATTACTTCGAAGTATGGATGAAATACAATATTCCCTGTACTTCACTCGTATTCCATCAGTAAACGATCATATTTCTACTTATACAATAAGGAAAAATACGGAAACATAATACGCTAAAATACGATCATCTACAACTTTTGTATATTTAGCCTTGGATACTTCACTTGTACTTTGAAGTACTGAAGTCGCACTTTTTTGTCTCTTAAGAAATGCTCACCATATCTACATTCTATTAACTTGTAAGCTAACATCAATTATTTTATCATGATAATTCTTACCAACATAAATTTGTTTACCGCTACCGATCATATATTACTACCTTGTTTATCGGTATTGATCATTTTATTTGAACATTAACTATATAGTTGTATAATCTACATACTACATCATCGACTTCTAAAGTATAACATTCATTGATGTTGAAATAGTTTGAAGGAAAAAAGATATATTCGATGAAATGATCTCCTTTTAACGGTTTTTGAATAATTGGAAAATAAATAGTTGGAATAGAATAAAATAGATAAAGGAATATAAATCAATAATAGAATCATCTTTTATTGCTAGTAGTCCAGGACACTATTTATCTTAGGACAATTATTAAATTCCATAAGTTCTTCTGTTATGAATTTGTTGAAGAACATCAATAGAGATTTAGTCTCATGAGAAATATTTATTTGATTAAGAAAAAAGCAGTGTATTGATTATTAAATAATTGTCAGTATTTTTCTATTGTTATTGTTAATTGTTGGTGTAATAATATATTAAAAATTATTTAAGATGAATAAAATGATCTAATTCATGTGAACTTAAAAATGCAATGACTGACAACCTTCTTAAGAGTAAGTATCTTAGAGACTCAGACATCGATGATGAAATAACATGTAAGAATTTTTATGACTGTTTTCACAAGTTATACTTAGGAATGAGTTTAATACAAGGTGAAATTTTCAGCTCAATCCCATTACTTTTCCCGAGGTTATTATTCAAAATATTGATAGAATTTTTAATCATAACAATTTCCTTAGTTTTTTCATGAAAGAGTTTTGACTTTATCTTGTTTCATTTATTATTATTAATGATTTCTAAGGTGCCACTAATGCAGAACTCGAGTAAATGTTTCTGTTTTTTATTAGTATATAGTTTGATAGAGTTTGACAAGCTGCTCATGAATATAGATAGTTTTTATTTTGATTTGACTACTGTTCGGCTGAAAAAAAACTCAAATGACTGAACGTCTAGCATTTCTAATTATGAGCTCGCTTTTTTTTACGGAAACCCTCAAATTTCATTTTGTTGTCTTTTTAAACTTCATGGAAATATTTTATTTTGGTTCGGCATGGAAAACTGAATGAGAAGGTGTTATTTCATTAGTTTTAAAGGTAATAAACTTTTTAAAAAATCCTGTCCAATATAGATAATTCCAACATGTCTCAAAGCAACTACTAGTTGTGAATTTTCTTGTAAACCTATCTGATTGTTTTATAATAAGAGATAGAAACAAGTGTGTTATCTCTTTAGAATCGCCAGATTGTGAGATACAAAATTGCCTATTTTTGTTTCATTTTTTTTTCTCATTTGACAGTAAAATTAGGCGAAATGATGAAAAATATCTTTGTATTTATTGATTTTTATTGTTATGGTCTACTTAATAATTGAAGTAGATCACGTACTCTGAATTAGCGTCAAAAACTGCATCGAATCATAGATATTTTAGGAAAAACTGTTTCCAATAGAAAAGATACTTGTGGTGCCAATTACGTTTATTTTTCTGAAACTTCGTCTCTACTCCTCCAGGAATTAGTTTTTCGTGGAAAAATAAAGATTTTGGAAAAATATCTGATTCAATGCAGTTTTTATGCTAATTTTAACTCTGCTATTTATTTCGCTTTTTAACTAGACCATAACAGTAAAAATCACGAAATGCAAACATATTTTTCATCATTTTGCCTAATTTTACTATCAAACGAAAAAAATAATTTACTTTTCTCAACAATAAAACAAAATTTAAATGAAATAAATAGGTAATTTTGTAACTCATGACCTGACGATTCTAAGGAACTAAGACACTTTCTTCTATCTTTTATTACAACAAAACTAGATAGGTCTACAAGAATATTCACAACTAGTTGCTTTGAGACATGTTGGAATTGCCTGTATTGGACAGGATTTTTCTCAAGCTAATTGTCTTTAAACCTAATTATATAACACCTTTCTACTCAATTCGTTATGTCAAATCAGAATAAAATGTTTTCATAAAGTTTAAAAAGCCACGGTAATTGAAATTGGATGCTTTCAGCAAAAAACCGCGAATTGATATTATCACTGCTAGATTTTCAGTCGTGCGAGTTGTTTTTACAGTTTTTTTTTTTCAGTCAAATAGTGGTCGAATGCAAATAAAAACTGTTTATTCATGACCAGCTTGTCAAGTTCTATCAAACCATATATTAACACAAGAGAGAAAAAAATGCATTCGAATTTTATAAATTTCAGAAATTTTCCTTAATTAAATATAAAATATATTAATATCTTGAACAGATCGGTTGAACACGTTATATGCGGTGACAATAGAATGCTTTGACATTTTCACTAATGCTACAGCTCAAAAACTTCTATCATTTTGATATACTTAGTAATGTTGTCTCAGACGAGAAACTAATCACTTTAAATGAAAAAACATCTTCTTTTTCTATTATTCATAAGATATGTTTAAAAATGCGTCGGTGTATTTTCCATAGATTATATTTGCATGAATGCTTTACATGTCTAGTTTAGTTACATTTTTTATTACGAATAATATGACGAAATAAACTCACTAAATCAAACTTTCAACACTTTCAGTATTATCAAAAAGGGTAATACATTTATAAAGAGATCATTTCCATAGAAAATTACATGAGAAGAGCTTTATTGCCTGATTTCGACTGTGAAAGATGTAGTTTTATCAAACATAAACATAATGCTTGCAATAAACATGCAAAATTCAAGTAGAAAACATATTTTTCATCTTTAAATATTTCTTAGTAAAATTTTACTTTGCTTCTGCTCAATCATTTACTGCAAAAGTTTTATGGTGTATTCCTCTACAAAATTTCGATGGGAAATATTTGATGATAAACGTTTATCTAGTGTAATTTTGCATGTTGATTGCGAATATCGTGTTTGTTTTTGATAAAAATCAAGATTTTTACAATCAAAAGCTGAAAATACTTCTCTTTTGAGACAATTTTTCGTCGAAGTAGTCCCTCAGTAAACATATCATTCTTTTGCTAATAGTCAAACTGTCGAAAGTTTAATTTAGTAATTTTATATTGTCATGCCCTTCATAACAAAAGAAGTAACTAAACAAGTAATTTTAAGCATTTGAGTAAGTATAACCTATGGAAAATAAGCTGGCGTATTTTAAAACATATCTTATGAATAATAGAAAAAAAGATGGGTTTTGATTTAAAGTGATTAGTTTCTCGCATGAGACAACATTACTAAATACATCAGACGATAGAAGTTTTTGAGCTTCAGCATTAATGAAAATATCAAAACATTCTGTTGTTGGCGCATAAAGTGTGCTCTATCGACATTCTCCCTATCAAAATGTCAAAAAGTATGAAATAGAGATTTGCCTATAATATCAATATATTTTATATACAATTAGAGAAAATTTCTGAAATTTATAGCTATTATTAATAAGTATAGTTGAAAGAGGATAAAGACAAAACTCTCTCATATCAAAAGACAAAAGTAATTTTTCAGAAGAAAATTTGCTACAACGATGAAAACAAAATCAGAAATTGGTTATTAGCCACTTTATTAGTATTTTGGATAATAGTCTTGGAAAAAGTAACAGGATTGAGCTGAAAATTGTAATCCGTATTAAACTCATTATCATGTACAGCATGTCAAAATAAATCATCAAATTCTTAGATGTTATTTAATGCCAAGGCATCTGAATAAATGATTTTCTCAGGCACTTACTCTTAACATTAATCAATTCTAATGCAAGAATTAGAATACACAAGCAATAGGCTTCATTTTAATAGTATCGTCTAAGTATTAGCATTTTTTTAATACTAATGCTAATACGACATCCGTAATTGATTATAAAAGTAAGTATATATATAAACCGATTAATTTCCTTCCTTTTTTTTTTTGCTCATATATGCTTAAATAAATTGAAACAGACAATCCATGTTGAGAAAAGAAAAAGAACGAGAGTGATGCTTGTTACCGGATGATTGAAAGTAATTTTGTGAGAAATTAAAAAAACTTTATGATATAAAAAGCTTTTCACTTAATATGCAATTATGCTTAAATATTTCATTTTGTAAAATAGGCATTGACTGATTATATCATTCATTCATCACTTGACAATCTTTAAAATCACTCAAGACATAGAGTCCTAGTTAAATTGCGTACTAAACAATTTTTGATCACGAGATAAGTATAGTGATTATATAGAAAGGTGCATTGATGATGATTACTGTTTTGTCTTGCCTACGATTTATTAATTGACTTCACCTTTTCTTTTCTTTTTTTTTTTTGTTTTCCGCTTTCATAAAAGTCTGTTTTAGAGATGAATAGTTAGAGTACGACGACTCTATTTGATATGTATGAAGTGAAAGATTTTTATACTTAAAAAGAAATAGCCTTTTGTCATTAAGAGTATAAATAGGTCATCTTATTATTTTGTTTTTTTATTTTATTCAGATATTTTCTCAATCAGTCACTATGTATCTTTTCGCTATTATATCTTCTCTGATTTGCACTCAATTACTATCAACAGCATCAAGTGGTAAACGTGGTCTTTTTTTTTTAAATATTTATTTTCGATTAATTAATTTTCTTTTCTTTTTATTTTTTTGAAAAGATACAAACGCTGTCAATCCAAGTTTTCTATCAGATGTTTTAACACCATTACCAACAACATTAAACAGTAAAGAAACTTTGAATAATGATAATCAAAATGATGAAGAATATGTTCATTATCCCCGATTGATATCATTTTTAAGATTTGGTCGACAAATGCCATCAGGATCAACATCATTTCTTCGTTTTGGTCGTTCACATCCGTTCATTTTTCGATTTGATCGTGGTGGACAAAATGGAGGACAGTTTCTCCGTTTTGGTCGACAAAATCAAAGATTAGCTTCGAACAAATTTCTTCGTTTCGGCAACAATGGCGATTTTCTAAGATTTGGTTAAATCTGTTGGATTTTTTTTGAACAGAATAATAAAAAAGAAGCCTATATAATCTTATGAATAGTTTGATGTAAAACTAAGATGTTTAAAATAAAATAAATCAGCTTTTTCATATGATCACAAGTAAACAATCGATTTCATATGTAATATGTCGTTTTTTGACTATTAACTATTTTCAAATTATTCAAATTGTTTTAGTACAATCATGTTCTAATATAGAGACAAGAATATATGAAGTCAAATTTATCTTGCATGATAGAAGTTTAAATTCATTTTGCCTGTTTTTCTTAATGATATCCTGATAGTAGGAATGCTGCATTACGTTTACTAGTAATAAGAATAATAGTCATAAAGCAAGTAATTAAGTCATGAAAAATGAATACTAAACTAATATAATCATCAATTGAATTTTTGAATTTACACTTTGATATTAACGAGTAGATATGGATGTTCTACAAAGCTATTATGTGTGTTACTTATGTCAGGTTTTCTGTTGAAGCAAAATTAAAAATATTAACACTTACTTAATTATCTAACTATAACGATTTAAAAACAAACGGAAAAATCATACCTTTTTTTTTAGCAACAGTTTTCTGAAATGGCGAACATGCAACCAATATATGTTTCAGAATAAGAGAAGAAATATTTCCAAGAATAACCATGAAGTAAAAAATGGAGGAAAAAGTCTTGTCTGGGAGAATTCTGTAATCATTGTATTTTATTTCGATACAATATAATCATGTCTACACTTTCACTTAGCAGTCACAACATTTTGTTCGAAACTAAATTTCATATCTAATATTGGAAGAATGACTGTTTCAAATATGAAGTCTCACTTTAGTTCAAAACTTTTCTCTCATGAATAATAGCGTCAGAAAACTTGAAAAGATCGTAGAAACTAAGAGCACAAAATTCTCTATCCATTGATGTTAACTATGATACATTTTCGATTGATCTTTATGAATAAAGACTTACAGAAAATTAAAAGTCATAGGTCATATTTTAAATTTTGCTTCAACAAGAAAAATTCATTCGAAAAACAAACGAAATAGTTTTTTAGAGCAAAAAATTCTCTATTGAATGACTTTCTAAAAGTATATTGGAATGACACAAAATTAATTGGCATCATCCATTAGAGAAATGTTGACTTTTATTATTTTCACAAGGATTGATCTCAATAGTCATGTACTACTGATAGAATTAATATAGTTTCTAGAATGAGGAAATTACGAATGCTTGCAATGATGTTTCTCCAACATGGAGAACATTTATTTAATCGCATAAGGTCAACTCTATCTCGCCATTTCGTGACTTAAAATTTTTTTTTTTATGGCCATTGTATAATCTGAAGTAGTATCTACCTACTCAATACAGAAATTGTCTTTACGTGTTAAAAAAATTGAGAAGAAATCAAATCAACAAAAATTGTACGTTGTTTCGAGTTTTTCTCAAACTGACTTTTTTCATGAAAAAATTGTAGAAAAGTTCGCATTTCTCATGCTAAATACGTCCGATCGAGTTTAAACTTTTTTCACATACACCGCTTAGAATGAGTATTCTTTTTTATATATTGCTCTGTTGATTTTTGATAGTTCTTACAAATAAAGCTCTATTTAAAATAATGCAGTTTTTCGGGTATCTTCGATGTTTTGACTGTTTTTTTTATTTTAATGATAAGAGAATAAAAAGATACCCATCCTAAAATGTGTCTAACACTTGTGAAGACCATTTCAGCTCAATTAAACATTGCATCTAACAGAAGCGCGAAGCTATTTTTCGCCATTGTGATTTCAGTATTTCATAGAAAGTAGCATTCAGCATTAAGTTACAAAGTAATATCATATTTTTCACATTTTCAGTTAATGAAAGTTCATCGTATGAACAGAACTATTACATAACAAGAGATCGATGCTAGGGTTTAATTGCTTTCGACAGTGTAAAAATTAATTTCAAAAATCTTCTTAAAAACAACATCCAAAAGTATATTTCAATATCTTTTCTTATATAAAAAATAGAGAAAGAGTGTAATCTCGTGGGTCCGTATATTAAAAAAAAAAACTGACGAGCCACATATTCATAAAAAAAATCCTATTGCTTTGTAAAAAATAAAACGCGAAGACAGCACTCAATAAATCTGTTTTAATCTTCTGATTTTTCGATTGTCTTATGATGCTATGCTATATTAAACATTAGTAGATGATAGAAAAGATCTTAGCTTTCGTTGTAAAGAAGAATATAAACAAAGAACAAGCAGCTACTATAGAATAGAATTTTTTCTGCAACATTGACTTTCTATACAATAGCGTTTCTTAAAAGATTGATGAAATGACATTCATGTAACAATATCTAACCTGTTCATTGTGCTTATGTCATGTCATACTGATTGTTTTGATTATTACTTTGCAGGGATGTCTAGAAAAAACAATGTGGATATCTCTTAAATAGTCTAAGCTATTTACATTTTTTTTTTCAATATTATAATTCGTTCTTTAAAGTTTATTTTCATATCATGATTATCATCATATGAAAGATGTAAATTCAACTATTTCGAAATATATTGAAAAAAAAATAATGAAGAAAGATTTTTGATTTTTTTTTAATTATTTTATTTCTGTTATTGATTGTGTCATTGTAAATTTGACTAGACAGACCTTATAAATGTATTGTTAAGATTTATGCTGTTGCCATATTTATAGATAAAATCTTTGAATGAAAAACGGATTTGTCGATGAAAATAATGAATTCTTTTGTTCGTTAATAATCTCTAATATTAGTATCAAAATTTGACAACTTCAACTACACCTTGTCAATCTTCTTTATGTGTCATCATTCTGTGTACTGTTGTTTGCAGAATGAAACATTCTTCTATAATAGCTCAGAAATTCAATAGAAGCTCGTTCGTACAAATATCATGAACTTTGTCGATTTCTTCTTCTGTAATTTTTCAAAATCTTTCATAACTTTTTCAATTTCTAACCATGCTTATTTTCATTGAAGAATTGAAAATTATCTCTAATACAGTCTATGTCTGGCATATGTATGTCGAATTTGATTCACATTTTTTGTTTCACATCGATAAATGAATCAAATTAGACCATTAATAAAACTATTTTGTATTCTTGTGTCTGTGAATAGAGAGATTATTAGAAAATATATACAAACAAACTTCAAGAAACATACTATCATAGTTTTGAAAAAATTATATAAATCACTTAAATTGATTAAAAGATATTAGTGTTTGTTTTACATAACAAACTTTTGGGAGATCCTCTGTCTTACAGTAATAATTTATTACTCATTACTTCATCATAATATAATACTAAAGTGCTTCATATTTTGCTAATAAGAAACAATATAAAATCTCTCGTATTATCAAAATAATAAAAACAAAGCAAAGAATGATATAAGGTAACAAGTCATAATTAGTTAATACGAATAATCAAGTTATAGTAATGTAGCATTCCTCATTAATAAAAAATGGATCATTTTAAATTGAGATGAATGTTGAGAATAATACAAAGTATAACCTCTCTATAGTGGATACTCTTCGAATTTTTCAAAAAGTGTCTACTATAAAGAGATTACGTCTTTTTTACAAGCAAAGTTTTTCTTTTTTACAAGAAACAGACGTGTTTTCTCGCTATCTGAAGGATACTAGTGAATAAAAGGATTAATTACTACTTATTCTTACTTCTATTTTCATATATATTTTTCTACTTGGAAAATTAACAGTTGTTCACATATAGTAAAATCTCCTTATTGTCGACATCATGGTGGGCTTTTTTGAAAGCTTTTCACCTCAGGGGGGGAAACAGTAGACCTCAAGACTTCAAAATATTTCATGAGACTTCAAAACCGAAATCTCAGTTGTTCCCCCCTTGTGGTAAACTTTTAGTGAGTAATGAGTAGTCCTGGGATAATTAGTGCTCTTATAAATTTTTTTCAAAGTTTTCAATAGTTCATTGTGATATTGTTTTATGACGAGTTATATCACCGAAAATCTGTTTTAGAGTTGAAACAACTTCATTCAAAATATCATAAATGAATCGAAATAAAGGAGAAATTTAGGAAATCAGTGATGAACCTAGTAGTAATAGAATATTAAATGTGAGTTAGAAATATGTAATTGATTTTATGTCTTGTTCTTAGAACAGCAAAGAAGTACTTTTCATCTGTATAGAGATACATATGTTTATTTAATTTGTGTCATCTTTCATCATGTTTTCTTGAAAGTCATATTTTTTTTTATTATCATCATTTTGTGATTGTAACTGAAATTTTGAATTAATTCTTTGTCGTTTTTTAAACTAATACACAAGACAAATACATTACGTCTGCTATAAACTCTAATAAATATATTGCATAAACCAAAGGATTATAATAAGTTGATTTTTGAGAATATTTTACAAATTAATATGTCTGTGATAAATTACCGACAAAACATTCAATCGCACACTTCAATGATTGTCTAAAGAGATTTTTTCGATGATAAAACATAAAAATCATGGCTAATGATATAGCAGTATTTTTAACTACAGCAAAGAAATTTTCACCATCATTAAAAAATGAATCCATATGTTTAATAAGTCATTGGTTCATATAAAAACATAAGGCTAATTAATGATCGAAATAATTTTCCTGGCAAAAATTCTTTAGATTTATTTGTTTAAACCTAGCAAGCTGATAATACCATAGAAAGAGTCGAATTACTAGTGACTACTAGAAACAAAAATCATATGTAGCATGAAAAAGTAAGCAAGACATGTACACGCTTTTTGAGGTTTTGTGGATTATTCAGCAAGATCTTCAAGTAGTGAATCTCAGCAATGTTACTTTCACATACTCTTGTGCACTTTATTTTCATTATGAACTCGAATATTCGATCATGGAATCGATCAGACGTGAATTATTGTTCACTCTTCAGTTTAATTCCAAGTACATGATTTAATTCACAGAGCAGTCTATAATTAGCACAATATTTCTCTTTTATGAAAGTGCAATCG